ATCAGTACAAAAGCAGAAAATTTCTATAAGCGGTTAATGGTACCTTGCAACTAATTCCATGGAGGAAAATATTAAGACCCAAAAACCTCTGGTGTTTATGATCTTATTTTATTCCAATGTTGAAGGATCATTGGGTTTTTTCGTTTATCCTTTTTCTAAACCATGCTTTTATTCAATGGCTTTAAACTGTTTTATTTGCACCATATCTTTGTAGAGATTTAAGTAGCAAATTTAAAATGTGAAAGACATTGCTAAATTTATTGATGACATAACAAGATTTTCAAGATTTTACCATGGCATAATGTTTATATTAGATTTAAAAATTGTTGGGCTGGCGAGATAGCTCAGCAGACTAAGCACCTGCTTAGGCAAGTGCACTAACCGTGTTTGATACCCGGTACCACATATTGCCTGGTCCAGCTCCTGGGCTCGCTGAGCTCTCCACCGAGACTAGGCATGTTGGTGCATGCCTGTAATCCCAGTGCTGCAGATGTTGAAAACAGGAGGATCACTAGCAGTCTGAACTGCATAGTGATACCCTGTACCAAATACATAAAACAATTTCAAAAATATTTAAAAATTGTTGAATAACACTTTTCCTAATTTTCCAAATGTTCCCTGTTAGAAAATCATATATATTTGAATATATATATTTATTTTACTATAAAATTTTTTCCTTCCAGTTATTGACAATCCAAGGAGAGGTGAATTATAACTAGCCTGTGAAGTCAAGAGCCCTTTGGCACAACTGCAGGATTCTTCTTTGGCTTAGCATAAACTGATCTTGAGAACACAGGCCTGTGGGTTACTTGATTCTCAGAGTGGTGCTGCGGCCACAAGCCAAGAGCTGACTTGCAAAGTTAGGCTTTGTCTGACTCCTTACTACTGATAAATGTTACATAATAGGGTAACGCATCGAGTTTTTCTTTGTCCTTTTACCTCTATAAATATTTACACGTTTGTACTATTGGAGGAAGGAAGCATTTCAGGTAACTGAAGGCTACCTTGTTTTAGAGGAAGTTTTTGTGCAGGAAACTTTTCTGTTAATGATAATCAGACTAAGTTATAATTTTAAGGTTCTCAAATCTTAAAAGCAGAACTGTAAATCTCAGTTGTATAATTTTTAAAAATAAACTTTCAGGCACTCAATGGTTTTTAAATTGATTTTCTCCATGTATTTGTGTTTCTGAAGTATCTTATTTTAGTGGTTGTTACTTTTTTTGTTTGAATGTATATCATATATTGTGTGAGAAAATGCTTGCTGACTGAGTAATCTGTTACCTACTGAGTTTGAGACATAATCTTACATATCTACAGTGATGAAGTACAGGAAATAAGAGTTGAATGAAAAACATTTGATAGTGAAAAATAAAGACAAGTATTATACTAACATACAGCTTAGAATAGGTTTAAAATATATAGCTTATAAAATTAGTCTTTAACATTTTAGGCTTTTACTTTATCTTAATAGGCTTTTATTTTTGTAGGTTTTTAACAAATGTAAATGTGCTAAATCTAAATGATGAAATAATGTTCTAATTTTAGATTTCTGTTTTCAATTTTAGTTGTTGACCTTCTTTACTGGAGAGACATTAAGAAGACTGGAGTGGTGTTTGGTGCCAGCTTATTCTTGCTGCTTTCATTGACAGTATTTAGCATTGTGAGTGTAACAGCCTACATTGCCTTGGCGCTGCTCTCTGTCACTATCAGCTTTAGGATATATAAAGGTGTGATCCAAGCTATCCAGAAATCGGAGGAAGGCCACCCATTCAGGTAAGATGTTGTGAGATTTTTTTTTTATTATTATTAATATGTTTGCAGTACATATTCATTACGTTGATTGTGGGAATTAGCATGTGGACATAACACCCATTAATGCTTTTTCCTTCCCCTTCCTGTCTCTTCCATCTGTAGCTATCTTTCCAATTTACAAAGGAGTTATCTCTGATTTCCTATTATCTTTTATTTTGCTCTTTATTTATACTTTGGATTCATATATCATTCATTAGCTTACCCTCAGCTACTTGTTAGAAATGTGGATTTATTAGAAGTAAATAACGGTTCCATCATTCTACTACAGTGGTGAGGGTTACGGGGGTTTTTTTGTGCTTGCTTTTTGTTTCCTAATACAACACTATCTGATACATTACAGCTTTTCTTTCCAATAGAATGCTTTCCCTTTTTACCATTTCTTTTCTGTCTACTTTCTTCTCTTCATTTCCCAAGGCATTTTTTTATTATTATTTTTGGAAAGCATTCAGTGTCTCTTTCTCTCATAAGTATTAGTATTTGCCTTTGTTTTCACAAGTATATACTAACATTTCCTATTTATTTGCTATCACCCTAGCTTTCAGGTTTCCAGTTTTGATGTCATCTTTGTTTTCATTTCATGTAAAGAAGGTCACTGAATTTTGTTAGGTCCTATTTTTCCCTTTGTTTAGAGCAGGCATCTTTTAAACCATAGCCACAGCCAAGTCCATTCTACTGCTTTGTCTTATAAACTTTTGTGGGCAAACCACTATGCTTATTCATTTAACAGATTTCAGATTTTGATAGCAGAGTTTGGTAGTTGTGATAAAGACAGCACATGGGGATGTCCAGGTCCAGAGTATTTTCTTCCTCTTTACAGAAAAAGTCTGCCTGTCACTGGTTCGACTCCGCTTGTTGACAGATTGACTTTTGGTTTCCTCATATTACTTCAATGCTTAAAGATGGCCTTAGCTTAATTTTCTGAAACTACCACTTACATTTTTAGGCTCAGAAGCTCTCTTTGCATCATAGGATGGAGTCCAAATAACTGTCCTGTCTCTTTATCCCTGCTGGGGTTTTGTGCCCATGTTCATGCCATCATCAATTGCCCAGATGTTCTGCTGTATCATACTTTTTATTAGACTCTGTTTGAGTCAAGACAGGACTCTTTCAAGAAGGCTTCTCTAACACTGACTCAGAATGACTTTAAAAATTCCTTTCTTAAGTGCCTGCTTGGCAGGTGCAAAGTTTGAGCTCTGGTACCACAAAAAAAAGGAGAGGAAAAGAAAAAAATCTTGAAATGTTCTCTGATTGTTTTGCATTTGAATGTTTCTCCAATTAAGAAGTCTGAACCCTGACTCAGAATTGAAATGCCTTTTGCAAGATTACATAGCTGGGTAGGTCTCCTAACTGCCACCTGAGTTCACCTAGACAGCGCTATCTGGATCACTCAAAGAAGGTTGTTAATCTGACATTGGCTTATAAGGTAGATTGGGCTGGAGACAGATACAAGAATGGTTTGGATACTGAGACAGTCGTTTGTAAGTAACAAATTTAGAGTAATGGCACTGGAAGTAAAAACAAGGAGACATGTTTGGGGGAATATTGAAGAGGTAAAAGTATGGGCTAGGGTTGTCTCTACAGACTGCTCTTCCCAGTATCTGACCTGGTGTCCACAGCTAAGCTGTGGGGAAGTGGAGAAGGGCGTGGATATGGAACAACTGCCAACAGCTAAAACCATTCAGCCCTTCTGATTTGTTTTCTGCTTCTTTAGTGAAGACTAAGTAACATTGTAGTTACATAGCCAAGTAAGTAGCAGATCTTAAGCTTCAAACTCAGATTAGCCTGGCTTTCAAAAGCATAGGCTTCTATGGCAGTCAGCTGACAGTGCAGTGCCCCTTACTTGGGTAATTTTTATATTATGCTGAATAGGAAAACAACAGGCCTTTCTAGTGGGGTATTTTTTATTTCTTTTATAGATACATTATTGCTAGTTGACATTTGGGAGCAAATCACTCCAATCATGATTTGTTTTTAGGGCATACTTGGAATCTGACGTTGCTATATCTGAGGAATTGGTCCAGAAGTACAGTAATTCTGCTCTTGGGCATGTGAACAGCACCATAAAAGAACTTAGGCGCCTCTTCTTAGTTGATGATTTAGTTGATTCTCTGAAGGTAAGTTTATTTTGCTTTTCATTTGTGATATATTCAAAACTTAAGATGAAGAGTTAGGAGTATAAAATTCTTTGTGTACTCAGATAAGTGGTAAAGATGTGAGGAAAGAACATTACTATAAACTTACTGTATTAAAATGTATCCAGTCACATTTAGGATGGAGGGAGATGTTTTCCTTTTTAAAAGGAAAATAAATTATTAATTCACTGCTGGAAATCATAAAGATTAAAAGTGAGAAAAAGGAATTCTGAGTATAAGAATAAAAATTATCAGGCTGGGGATATAGCTCAGTGGCACAAGTGCTTAAGCGCCTGCCTGGCAAGCACAGAGTCCTGAGTTCAATTCCCAGCAAGGGGGTTGGGGGAGAAAATCTATATAAGAATAAAGATTATCTGATGATGATAATTCTGCTTTGTTTTAAGAGTGTAGAATGTAGCAGTTTTTGTGTGATTTATACACACTTGCATTTCATATCTTGGACTCTTCAGTTTTCTGAAACACATCAGTGTTCAGTAGGTAATTGCTGGAAAATTTTTTCAGCTATTGAATCATGCTACGTTGCATATTAGTTAGAGTCTTGCCTTACAAATGTAATCACCCAAAGTCCAGAAAGACTTGAATCAAGCTGTGAGCCACAGCCATGGTGGCTCTTGAGCCCTAAGCTCTAAAATTATATAGTGCCTTTCCTTCACATAGAACTTGCCATTTGTGTTTAAGAGATACACTCTAGTTTGTGATTTATCATGCAAACGATGAACATCATACCTCTAGGACAATTAGGTTTCAGGCTTAGAGAAAAAGTTTTTAAATTGGTTAGAATAGGTTTTAAGTGCTTAAAATGCTTTCTGTACACAAACATTTTAGTAGATGTGTTCAGCTATGTGTTTCTCTTAAAGTTGGAAGCTTTTGGTGTGTATTAGGCTTCTCTTTTCAAATGTGTCAAAGAAATGATCAATTTTCTTATGAAAGAGCTGCTATGAATTGGTAGGAATCATTGTGTTTTGCCAGGGTCTCCTGGTTGTTGACTGAGAAAGATAAAAATATGCCATGCTCTGTAGATTTCTCCTTAAGTGATTGTCTCTCTTATTACTTTGCTCTTTTGAGATTAACTAAAGGCTTATAAGTCCTAGCAAAGATTTCAGGTGACCATAATATGGACAGCAGTTCATTTCCTAGTCAGACAGTATGCAAAAATCACTGACAGAATGCTAATAATTCCATTTAGTAGAATTAGTTAAAAAATAGGATACTGTAACATTTCACTGCAGCTAAATGTCTTGACCAATCCTTAGGATTTGTTGTAATAGTTGCATTTCTTAAAGTAGGTGTGTCCCAGTAAGTGCCAGCTATAAGAGGAAGCAGTATTAGTCTCTGAGAAGTGGGAAAGAGGCGAGGTAACTTAATTTGACCTGATGACATTTACTAACATTAAATAACTTGTGTTGTCACTGGAAACTGGTATATTTTATGAAACTAGTTTTCATGATAAGATAGTTGAACAAACTTTACCTACTCAAGATTTAATTCAGTTTCCGTGGTTACTCATCTGTGTTAAGGCATCTTAGATAAAGGCTTTTTTAAACAGTGGTTCTGATAGCTAAGGTGAAGAAGTAGCAGTCCATTGCCTGAAGTCTGATTTAATTTCTCTGAGGATACTGTCTGAAGAATTGCTTTTAGGAATTTGTGACATTAAACTATAAGCCCCAGAACCCCAGGTTATACCCACCCCCCAGTTACAAAAGAAGAGTGTGGGATGTCCTTAGTGGGTTTATTAGGAACTTTATTAGGAAACTTCTGACTTTTGAAACTACCAACTCCCAAGAACAATGCCTAAATAATTTTACTTACTGGGGAGTAAGACCAGATTTTTTAGCACAGGTTCATAAGAAAAATTCTCGCTATTACTGCCTGATGTTCAGCAATAATGTTGTAGTTCGTGTGCTGCCTGAAGCGAGTACAAGCTGTCGTGTTCTAGAATAGTCTTAGATCCAAAAGCAAGCAAAGAAGGCTCAGAAGTAGCTGACCCAAAGAGCTTTAATCTCCAGTGTTCAGGAGCTGACTTCTCTTGTTACCCATCCTTCATTTTCCTTAAATCATAGCTGCAGTGGTCTTAATCAGGTATATTACACACAATTAAATTTAATTCCCATATTTCCCAGAAAGAAAGGTAACAAGCCATGCCCGGGTTGTTTCAGTATTTCTTAGATCTTTCAGTATTTCTTTCAGTATTTCTTAGATCTCATTACACTTTGGACCTATTACTGCTCAAGGAGAGATGAACTGTCATATCCACAGGCACTATATGCTGGGCTATAGTATTTATAGTAGAGTGCCGTAGAATCTCTAGGCCCAACATACTTTTTTTTTTTTTTTAATGGTACTGGGGATTGAACTTGGGACCTTGCCAACATACTTCTTTAAAGTGCTGTTCATTGAACTTTTTTTCTGCCTTGTTGTGTTAGTGTGCACATTTGTGACGAGCTCCCACTGACGATGATGATTCTGTAGCAGTGGCGACACACATGCGGCACGTGTGCTGCAGTGACTGTTTATATCATGGAAAGCTGTAAATGGGTCACCACCAGTGCCCTGTGGATAGCTTTTAGTAGAGAAGAGCAGGCTCTGACGTCAGATAAACATGAGATCAATGACTGGTTGTCCTTTCTATAAAGATAATAATATTTAACATTTGGGGTTAACACATTCCTGCCAGCTTGAACCACCAATGATAGATGCATGACTGTCCTCTGCCACCTGATGGGACAGCGCTGCATGTACCACTCGTGGCTCAAGCAGGTGGGAATATAACATGTTTAAATCATAGCTGCTGACAAGCAAGACCCAGAATTGTGGCCCCATCATGAATGTGTTAATAGGGCTGGCCAGATAGCTCAGTGGATTAAAGCACCTTCAAGCAGGCACAGGGGCCGGGGGTTCGATCCTCAGGCCTGCCATGCCAGCCCCACTCCAGGGGCGTGCTGAGACGGCGATTGAGACTGAGCATGCGCGCCTGTAACCTCAGCTCTTGGGAGGCTGTAAACAGGCAGATCACTAGGAGTCCGATCTAGTAGTGAGACCCTGTAGACCCTTCCCTAAAAAGCAACAGTAACAAAAAATGAATGTGTTAATAGTGAGGCTTCCCTGTCCAGTATATATAAAGCATACCACCTGTCCAATAGCAAATGTTTCGGAAAAGTTTCTAATGTTATTCTGTAACACTTGTCGTAATTGTGCAAATAGTAGAATGCTAATTCTTAGTGCCACACCTTTCTGTTTTGATCATGGTGTGTTGTCTAGAAACCTTTACCCCATACTTTTGTTTTGGGTCCACAGAATGTTAAATTTTCATCGAATGTAGCTCATTTAAAACTTAGGTGGCAGCACAAAAAATGTAAAATTCATTTCTTAAAAGGGAGAATTTGGCACTGAACTAGAACACTTGCATGCCAGGGCATATGCAGCTGGGCAGTGGGCTCCCCCGGAGGGAGAATGCCTAGGTGCTGCCTTCACCCGGCCCTTCTCCTGCATCAGTGTAACTTTGCTGGCCACAGGGATGTTTGAGGCCTTTCTGTTCTCTTTACCTCTGGACTGGCTGACTTCTCTAAGAGTATTCTCAAAGAGGCTAGTAACATTTGAACCCACATTTGAACCCTTTGGATGGCCCAGCTGCGAAGTTTTGGGCTTCTGTCCCTTTGGGTTTGCAGTGCAGCCTTGTCATTGATGCTAATGATCAAACTAGGAAGGATTTTCAGCTTGTGTATCTGAATTGTGTTACAGTAAAGGTATTTTATGGCTAAAACAATTTCTTTTAAAGATGACTCTTTTCGGGGCCGGGGAGATGGCTCAGTGGAATAAGCACTTGCCAGGCAAGTGCAGGGGCCTGAGTTCAATCCCAGGTTCTGCCAAAAAAAAAAAAACCACATTAAAGATAACTCTTTTCTTTAGACGTGGGAGACTCTAATGAATGAAAATAGCTCTCGATATATAGTAAACTTGCTTAAGTGCAGAAGCCATACTTCTACAATAGTAGTCTGTAAAACTGAGGTAGCAAAACAGCTGGGATTATAACAGCTACACTTCATACTGTCCGATGAGAGGTTTCATAAGAACAAGTCAGCATGTTTACATTATTACTATCACTGGACAGTTTCTCACTTTAATATTCAATTTAATTGTAGGGATGATCAGAATGTTACTGTTTATAGAACTCAGAGTTTGTGGAGGAATCCAATCTTATTAATCCTCAGTGAGTGCACTTGCTGGAGTTTGACCACTTTACTGCTTAATAGCTCATTAGTAGTCACTCAGATTTTATTATATAAATGAATATATGGAGAAAGATAGGCTTAAGGAGCTGCTGTCCATTTAGCCCACTACCAGATTTTGTGTAGCCTGGGAGCTAAGAATAGTGGCTTATTTTTAAAAAATGTTTATAAAAACAGTAACAGGAAAGAATGAGATAGCTGTGAGGCCCATAAAATGTTTACTATCTGGCTGTTTAACAGGAAAGTTTGCCGATTCCTGCTTTAGGTACTGGAGCTCTTATTCTGCTGTTCTACTTTTCATTTGTGCTGTTACTGTCCACCTAAGTAATTACTAAAGTTGGTGGCATCATAGGGATACGTTTGCTACCCACTGAATAGATCAGAGTGATTGCCAGACACAGAAAGACTTGGAATTAGGAAGGAAACAATTGCTGATAGTGAGTTGATTAAAATTCAGATTGACTTAAGCTAGGAGGTTTCAAAGAACTGCTTTGAGCGAGTCATTGAGCTCTTGTATTATATGATGTCATGAAGTTTTAGAAGTAGAAGAAAACTTGGAAATCTTACCTGACCATTCATGAATAAAGTATGGCAAGGAAAAGAAAAAAAGAATTCTCAAAATGAAATCACTTTTTAGATGCAAAGGCTTTCCAAAACTGCTGCATTTAATGATTTTTTTTTTAAAGGCTTGAAAACTTAAAAGTTGAAGCCAGGCATAAGTAGGAGTGTTTAGTTGGTTCATTACTGTCTCCAGCACCCGGAGAGGACAGTCAGACCTACAGTTGGTATAATCGGATGTTGGGCAAGTTATTAAAAGCCTCTGTGTGCTTTACTGTCTGCATTTGTGGTGGTCATGGTAACAGAAGCTCACATAAAATTGAGGGATAACTTTATAAGGAGTTAAAGTAGTGCCCAGTGCATAACTAATATATATATATATATATATGGCATAAAGGCAGTGGTGAAAAAAAGTACTTGTGGTCGTGTTACTGACAGGCACAAGAGCTGGACAAGTCACCCTTCGCGGGGCTTACACTGGACCTGACACACACATCACTGAAGCCTGGATTCCTTCTTAATCATAAAGGCGCAGGACGTACCTTCCAGATGCCAAAGCTAGCGCTGTCTAGCCCACCTACATATCCGCAAGCACTTTTGTGCTTCATGATCAGTTTAATAATTAATGCTCATAATCCCTTTCTGACCGCCTGATTAAAAGCTAGAACTTGAGTAAGGTGCACTTTTAGCATGTTTCCCAACCTCAGAAGAAACAGATCAGCTATGTATTTTGTAGTATACTCTTAAGAAAATGAATGTATCCCATGATCGGTTTAGTCCAGATCTGAAATTTTGAATTAAGATTTGTGACTTACTGAATTATTTTTCTCTGTCCTTAAGGTAGATTTGCATTTAGATGAATGCTTTTCTGGATTTGCTTAATTAAGTGACTTTATCTAAATACTTCATGATATTTTCTTACAGTTTGCAGTGTTGATGTGGGTATTTACCTATGTTGGTGCCTTGTTCAATGGTCTGACACTACTGATTTTGGGTAAGTCTATAAAACCACTGGAATGAAAAAATTGTAGAATACAGTTTGTATGGAGGAATTAGAAACATTTTAGTGGAGTATATTCTTACATCATAAGAAAAACAATGTGAATTTGAAGTTGTGATTCCTTAAATAGCTGATACTAAATCTCAGTTTATTGAAATGCTACTTGAATTCCTGCAGACCTCTCCAGCTAACAGTGATGAACCAGAAGATGACCCTACCCCACTATAGAGTGGTAAATCTGATCAAAGATGTCTGTATTACGTGGTATGGTTTGAAGCGAGGCATAGGTCCTTAGCTCATTCCTCTGGAGTGGAGCCTCAGCAGGTGTAGTCAGGAGATCCTGGTGCATTCATTCATTAGAGATGCAGTACTGGCTCTTGTCTTGAGTGTTGCCAGCTTGATGGGTTAGTGCTCATTACACGAATCATAACTTTTTAAAAAAGATTTGTATTTCCTTTCTCAGCTTTGATTTCACTCTTCAGCGTTCCTGTTATTTATGAACGGCATCAGGTAACTAATTGCTGATTTAAGAATACAGTGCTTACTTCAAAACCGTATGAGAAGTATGATCTTAAATCTCTTAATTTATTGGCATATAGTGATGTTTAGTGAGATTCTTTAGCAATGTTAACTTTCTAATAATTTCTTCATTTCCTTTCAGGCACAAATAGACCATTATTTGGGACTCGCAAATAAGAATGTTAAAGATGCTATGGCTAAGTAAGTTACTCTGCAACTTTTTTCAACTAAGGATGAAGTATGCTGGATTTTAATAAAACAATATTTTCATTTTACAAGCATAATTAAATCTCCATCAAACCATGAGATGTTGGTAGAAGATTTTCTTAATATTTGGATCATCACTATCCAGAGTTAAACAATAACTTAAATACATAGTAAAACTAATTTGTGGGATAAAGGTGACAAAATTATAATTCAGCACCTTCAGGACTTCATTTCTTGGGGTGGGGGTGGCATCCAGGAATTGAACCCAGGACCTTGCGCTTGCCAGACAGGCCCAGGGCTTCATTTCTTATATAAACTAAATAACATAGTTCTTGAAAAATGGCATTTTTTTTTTTTTTTAAAGTAGAAAACAAAGTGTTATTTACATTAACAGTTTTGCTTCTTTTTCATTTGTAGAATCCAAGCAAAAATCCCTGGATTAAAACGCAAAGCTGAATGAAAAAGCCTAAAGCAGTTAACATAGTTGATCTACAAAGGGGACATTCATTTGATTACATGGGGGAGGGCCAGGGAAGAATGGAACCTTGACATCGCAGTGCAGTTTCGCAAATTTTATTTTTAGCAATGCACTGTTTGAGGGAAAATTACCTGTTTTGACTGCCATGTGTTTTTCATTTTAAGTATTGTAAGCTGCTATGTATGGATTTAAATTGTAATCATGTTTTCCTATATGAGGCACTGGTGAATAACAAGTGATCTGAGAAAGCTGTATATTACACTTTGTTGCAGGTAGTCTTGCTGTATTTGGGGAAGTTACAGAGAAGGTAGAGCTGAATAAAAACCCCCTTTCACAGTTCGTGCACTGTGTATGGTCTGTGTAGACTGATGCAGATTTTCTGAAATGAAATGTTTAGACAAGATCACACCACTAAGGCAGGAATAAAAGAGCTTGCCTTTCTGGTATGTTCTAGGTGTTTTGTGAATTTTACTGTTATATTAATTGCCAATATAAGTAAATATAGATGATATATCTCTATATATAGGTTCACAAAGCTTAGACCTTTCCTTCCAGCTCCCCACCATGCTTGATATTTCAGTCATTGGTTATACATGTGTAGTTACAAAATACATAAGCTAGAAAAAGAAAATATATTTCTAGGAGCATTACCATCTGTTGTCACCATGAAACAATGCCACATTGAACTCCAGTACGAACTTCATTGCACAGACTTACTGTAGTTAATTTTGTCACGAACTCTTATCTTGGACTGAATCTAATGCTTCCAAAATATTATTTGCAAATATCAAACATTGTTATGCAAGAAATTATAAACTGAAGACTTATACCATTGTGGTTTAAGCTGTATTGAACTAAATCTGTGGAATGCATTGTGAACTGTAAAAGCAAAGTATCAATAAAGCTTATAGAGTTAAAAATGTGTTTGGTATTTTGCTTTCATAAAGGTGTAACAAATTAAAGTGGACACAGGAAAGACTGCATCAATCAGTGTGAGTGAGAACTTTTTCACAAAGATTGTCAGAAAAAGATCAAAGAAAATGTTTATGTAAACAAATTTATTTGACACATACCAAAATGTTTTTAAATTTTTTTTGTAATTTGATGACTGAAAATAAATTCATGCACCAATGTTTTAACATAGAGTACAGTGCGGGCTTTGTGAATATACATAAAATTATACCATATAAATGTTTACAAAGAAGATTTCAGAAGTGTTCTTGACACACAGACACTATTGCTCTTTTAAATATATGTAGTTGTACATACTACTGATCAGTTCATTGTTCATCCAAATGGTTATTTCAATGTAAGATCCGGTCAGAAAAGTCTGTTAGTACAGTGTAGGCAGACATGGTTATCACTCAGCATCACCAGTCACATAGTTAACAGAAAACAGAATTAGGACTCCACAGGGACTCTACTGCAGGCCCAACAATCTGTTAGTGGATCAATGTAAGGCATTAATAAATTGGCATATAAAAATAGCTTAATGAGTAATCTAATCTATTTAGAATGCTGAAGTGCTTCTGTGGTAAATGTTAATCTATTTCACCTTTTCTCTGACAACTGTAGATAGCCAGGAACTCAAGTTTCATAATTTCTTTGCACTGACCAGGAGAATTAGTTGGCATCTGTCCTCAAAGCCACTGTTCCTTTGCCAGTCTTTTAGTGAGCATTGTCAGCCCCACTACAGTCAGTAGTTGAGGGGCTTTTGGGACTGACTTGGTGTAATGTGGTCCAAGTCATAGTCTATTGTACAACTTAACTCTGAGGTACGGAAAGCTAAATTATTTTGCTTTATATTTCTAGTTTATTCTTGGATTTAAGAATTTTTTTCACCAGGGTTCTGTTTTGTTTGTTTTAAATCTGTATAATTGACCTGCTACAAATGAATGAAGTCAGACCGACCCCTCTTAGGGGGTGGTAAACCAAGGCATAGCCTCAGGTCACCTCATTTTAAGATTTAACGAGACAAATCAGCATATCCGCTTGGGCGCAGTGGACGGCTCCGTCCATTGTGTAGCAGTGGCTTGTCTCTTTTGACTTCCATTTGGATTTCTACAGGTTTGGCACTAACGTAAAGGAAGTCCACCCTAGCCCTGCAGCTCCTTTCCAGCAGTTCCTGTGCTGCTTGCCTTCCTTGCAGCCAGTATCCCAAGCAGGGAACTGCTGTCTCTTACCTAGAAAGCCTTGACCGAAACACAGGACATGGGTGACAGACTATGACTCAGCCAAGGGTCCTGTAGCCCTCCTCAGTTTTAAAGTTTTAGCACCATATGTAGAAAGGAGATAATTTGTGGGAGGTTAAACAGCAGCCCACACACCACGGGAGACTTTCAAAGGCACTTAATGGATATAAAACTGCAAATGAAACATTAAAAAATTAAGTTTCTCAACTTGTTTGTACATGGCTCTTTTGGTTTTGAAAGCTAAATGTAGAGAACAGCTATCAGTATTTCTAGTACTTCGGTGCATGAACCTTAAGCTGTCTTCCTCAACTTATTTATAAAAATGAACATTCTTTAAATACATAGAAACAATAGCAAAACGTCTTTTGTAAAAGTTTTGATGCAAATTAAAAGCTACATACTGGTTTGAATAACTGAGGCTTTAAATTTTGTCATTGGGCTACATCATCGGATAGTTTTTTTTTTTTTTTTAAATCTGTAGTAAGGACAGTTTTTAGTCTCAGAAACGGGCAAGTCGTCTTAACTTTTTAGAACTTTACCTTCCTCCAAGAGTCCGGGTCCTGGGAGCAGTCCTGCGGACTTCAGCAGGTGGAGGGTGTGCGTCCCCGCAGCATGGTAGGAACTCCCCGGCAGCTGGTGGCCAGGTGGCCCCAGCACAGGCCGGGGGTAGCAGCAGCAGTAACGGAAGAGGTCTCTAGCACTTACAGACATCGCCACACAAATACACTGAAAAAATGGACCACAACAGTCTTTTGCATTCTGCACATTATACCTTTGTCAAGTGGCCAAAAATTTTGGCAAGTGCTCCTAAGTCAAGGTCAGATGCCCCTTTTTTTTTCCAAATTTTAACCCGGGGTTTTTGTTGCCTTGTTTTAAGGTCTACTGCTCATTTTAAAAGTCCTTGGTTTTTGTTCAGTTTAGCTCTTTCAGGAGCTTGTGTGTGCTAAATGGTTAGGCCTTCTGGCAGTTTGCCTTCACATTGTTACTACTGAAAAGGTTTATCAGTACCACTTAAGTCAGCCCGAGTGCTTAGCACAGAGCCAGAGAGCGTGAAATACTCCCATGTCTTCAGAGGCCCTGCACCCTTAGGATTCGTCTTGGTCTAGGTAGTAAGCAGATCACCTGTCTCCCCACATTCAGGCCTCTCGTTCCTGCCTTATTCACAAATGGGCAGGTGCACTTTGCACAGTTGTCTCCACTCCATGGTGTACTGCTGTACTGTTATCTCAAGGGTTTTAAATGCCATCAGCGATTGGCACAGCAAGCTGGAGAAGGGTACTCCCCCGCAGGCTGTTGGGAAACATCCAAGGCACAAAGTTCTATGCAGTGCTTTTAGCTAAATTTTCTATAGGTGCTTTTTCCACACCCTAACTTGAGTGACCAAAAATCAGAATGGACCTATTCTGTATTTCTCATCTTAAGCTGAGCAGAAACCAACTTGTGCTGCAGCAAAGTATTTCAGTGACATCAAATGTGAAACTGAGGTGCAATGTTCTACAGGACAGTATGCCCTTGGAGAAGGGGTAGAAAACAGCTATCTGCTTTGAATTGCTGATGAGTTGGTGGAACCTGTGGCTCTGGCGGGAAGGGATTCCTCTGAAATGTGGCTTCTCGGTCATGCCTTATGAGGAATAATGTGCCAACTCACATTAAGGTCAAAGGCTGCCCTACTTCGTGGACTAAACATCTGGTTGAGGGTCTCCTGCTACAGAGTGCTGCGTCTATTTGCATTATTTCTTACCTGATCTTAATGTCAAACTGGGCTAGCACTTGCCCTGCTTGTTTGGTGTTTTGTTTTGTTTTGTTTTGTTTTGTTTTGTTTTGTTTTGTTGAGTAATCAAGGCCTAGTACTAGTGATATTTTAAAATTTCTCTTGGCTATAAGATTAATTATGCCTCTTAAGCACACTAGGTCACCTGAGAGTTCTTCAAAAGACCTATGAATGAATTTCCATTCTAACGTCATTATTCTTCGTGATGCCCTTGGTTATCAAGAGCACCTGCGATCAGCCATCTCGGGTCTCTCACCCCTTGGCCTCTCCCCAAAAATGCCTAGAATAGCTGTTACATGACCTTCTCATGGAGCCTAGGACAGCTCTAGTGGGAACACAGGCCAAGATGTAGGTTGAGAGTTACCAGAAACTTAACTATCTTGTCCTGGGAAAGTCCCTGCATTTGGTAAGACTCCTCGCTAGGATTTCCCCTTTACTGTCCCACATCAGCCCCTACCCACGTCCTGGCAGCGTCTGACCAGAGGACCCCTGAAGTGGGGAAGGAGAGCAGGCCAGGCCTCAGTCGTCAGAATCGTGACAATCAGTACCTGCAGTCATCTCCTCCAGTGCTGACCACGTACTTGTCATCATAAGAGAAACGGATATTTGTCACATGAGCCGAGTGACCAAAGTAACGCTTATGTTTTGCCTGTAAGCAGAAGATAAGAGATAGCTGAGAGACTGCTGCCCTCAGAGACTGCTGCCCACGGTCTACACCCAGGACTCACGACGACTTCCAGGACTCTGATCCCTTCCTCCCAGAAACTTCCTCGCTCAGGGGATTCCCATTTGGTCTGGATATCAGTGAGCTAACTTCCCAACCTCTCATTCTTGCCCAGCTTGTGGCTATTTTGTCCACCCCCTATCTTCCTTTCTCTGACTTTCCAGAGAGAGATGAAAAGATTAGTCATTGCCAAATCTCCATGGGCTGGGACAAGATTCTCCTTGTCTTCAGAGGGCCAGCTAGCTGTGGCCACTATTTTATCTACCCTGTAGAGAAGTAAAAAACCTGGAGGCAATGTGGGAATCTTATTCAGAAACACTTACAAATTTTTCCATGCAGGGAAAATCAAAGAGCTTGACTAGCCCAAAATCATCTCCTGTGACAATGTTGAGGCCAGCATGGGTCACACATGCGCAGTTGACATCAGCCTTGTCTGCATTTCGTGGCCAAATGCCAATGACCTCATCTCCTAGGATGCTGTTTCAACAGAAAGAAGTGTTAGGAAGACATGAGAAAGTTTCCAATGGTCAGTCATCCCTTTGCATGAGTAAATGGGAGACAGGGATTTCTAATTCAGTATGGTCCTGGCTATTCTGTCATGGAAACGTCATCCATTCCTCTTCTGTACAAATGTACCAATTCATACTGACCTCTTCTACCTTAATCCTCTAATATTCCAGAAATAAGTGTTACCCCATTTTTTTTTCGGTACCAGAGATTGAACTCAGGACCTTGTGCTTGCCAGGCAAGTGCTTACCCTACAGAGCTATCTCCCCAGCCCCAGTTACCCCATCTTTGATTCCCTCTTCCCCATGGTCCTCGTGGATATAGGTATAAGAAGAAAGAGGGCTCCTTCAGACTCAAGGCTTGGTAAGTCTGGCCCCTCAGTTTAGCCAGGCATTGTCCTTACCCTGATGAACAACAATTCTAACCTCATTCCCTTCCCCTGGCGAGTGGGGGCTTCATGGTACACTTGTCATGGTCAAAAGCTGGAAGGTGGTTTCCTTTGCACTCGATGGATGGGCTTAGGGACTTGCATAGTGATTATATTAAGAGGGACTTTACATTTCAGAAGCCCAGATCAGATGGAGCCACCGGGCTAGATGTTAGCCAACAGCCTCCCACCCCCACTCCCACAAGAAAAAGCAAAACCCAAAAAAAGCTCTATTTCTGTGCTTCTTCAGGCCTTGGCCATCGTAGAGCCTTGGGACGGTAGACGCCCTGTTCCTTCTT